TAACAATTACTCCTCCGAAACTACTGAACCGATTGACATGTTTTTGGTGTCATTGGAAAGAGCGTAACGTGAAGTTGTGCAGGAAACTTTCTTTTTAGGAAAATAATTAGAGAAAGAGGCCCTGGGGCCCTTTAAAGTTTCGTATTTCTCCATAAGATTAACATGGGAAACAAACATTGTTATGAAACTCCAGCTGTTGTCAGAAATGCTGTTCTGCTATTTAATTTAATTTGTTTACAAGGAGAATTGTTTCTTGGTGCCATGTGGTCAATGAATTATATTTTTTCATATATTTTAAATGCTATACACTATATAAAATGATAGTACTGTAATACATTAAGATATCTTAATTTAAATAATCAATAAGCAGGATTGAGCCTTTGCCTATATGTTTCCTGGTAAGTGTGTTGTAACTGTTTCTCTTAGTATATTATAGTATCTTAAAGTAAAACCGAATTATTCTCTTCTGCATTCTCACCCCGTAGCGAAGCACGGGCACAGCAACTAGTCTATATAATTAATACGCTACACGAAAGTTTGTCGGTTGAACTCCTCCGCCATTTCTTAACCGATTTTATCCATTGACGTCTCATTGGAAAGAGCGTGTCGCGTAGATTTGCAAACTGACCTTACATTTTTAAAAAGTCCCTTGGGCTCTGCCCCAGTGGCTTTAAAAGTTCCTATGTTATCCTTATGAAGAACATAATTGTTTACATTTTGATCAGCTGTATAATTTTATTGCTGTTATTTACTTTTCAATTCAATGAAACACATTGAGTACATTTATTTACTGTTTGAGTTTGTGTAAACACAACCCCCAAGACGGATCGTGTTAGTATGGTTGTATCTTAAATTTGTGTATTTATCGTTGTTTTGTGTCGCTATGATGGATTGTGTTAGCATGATTGTAACTTAAATTTGTGCATTTATCGTTGTTTTGTGTAGCTATAATTTGTTTATTATTTGTTGTTTATTTCTTTTAAATGTCTCCGACGCAACGACAACGAAACATAGACAGGAGGCGCAATCGTGATAACGACCGCAACTACAGAACAGTGGCGGGTAATAGGCTTAACTCATCAGCTTAACAGTCAACAGTCTGAACATGAACCTGGACAACTTCAACTATTTGGTTACAAATGCGCCCTTACACTACCCCAAAACGACTTTTCGTTCTCAATTGGCCCTCTATTAATGACCTGTGTTGCCTGTACAGCGAGGCATTTTGAGAAGGAGAGAACCGTCCGGAATGCTTTAGGTTTATCAATAACGAAGATAAACAGGGTCTGAGTTACACAACGGTAATATTTGAGTTGACTCTTTTAAATTAATTGTAAATACATTGTGTTGTGACTGTTATTCAATCTGAAATAACTCCCGTAATACTTTGTAATTGCTCGAATTCGAGCAACATGTACACTAGTAGTGAATTAAATACGAGTTATGATGTACCAAGATGCTGAGACATTGTGCTTGTACAAGTAAGAAATCAAAGGTTGTGACTAAAGGTAGGATGACGATGAATACGTACTACTAAAATGACGTTATGGACAATATAAACATCGACTTGTAATTAGCATGTATTACTATTTCAATACTAATACTATGTACTTTCAATAAGTACTATGCAATAGTATTTCGCAAAAGTAATTAGGCAATAGCAACTTGGAATTATAGTTTATGTGTAGTAGAACGTGTGCCTCACGTAAAGGCAGTGGATATATTTAAAATATCAGCAGTCTTTATAAATTTTAACTAAAACTGCGACTAAAAACTAACTGTGTTTCATTTTCTCTCTTTATCTTTCAAATGTTTAAGGAAAAATCTTATTTAATTTAATCAACGAATGAGTTTCCAATTGGAAAAATACATTGGATAAGCGTAACATTTTGATTCCATTTCATATGAAACGCAGTTATACAAATCTAAATATCATACAGGTAATGTAAACTAAAATATTTTTCTGAAATTAAGCAGTAATTTCAATCTCGGAAAGATTTAGGGATTCTATTTTAATATTGCTAATGTTTACTGCATAATACTAACATTATTGCTTGAAATAATGAGCCGCTGTGTCTTGTATTGTACATTTTACGACCGCAGAAAATTCCGTTAATATTGCCAATAATCACAATAATTGTTTTGTTAAAACGTCCATTAATACTTGGAAACTTACCTAATAAACACAACGTGACTAAATGTTTAGACTAGAGGGTGGTGATAAATTGCTGATGGCGTACGAGTTTTGTTATAAAATAAGTACCGGTACATACTTAACAACTTACTTACATGATATATTAAATATTTGTTCCACATATTCAGCAGTATGTGTTTGATTTATTTTATCTTAAAATGCTTTTGATATAGGTACTCAACTTTTGATTTACCCGGGTTTAGTAAATTTATATTGTATCTTTTTAAAAGGCAGGAGACATAATGTAAATAGTTTTGATCCAGCGATTCAATGGTTAATAAAAAAAAAAAAACTTTCACCGAGTTCAAGTAGACTTTAGCTTGTAATTTTAATTCGTGAATGACCTTTAGTATTATGTACTGCAATGTAAGAAATCTAATCTCTCGCTAGTAAACATACATTTGTTTATCACTTGCAAAAATAAATAAAAAAATCCCCTAATACTTCTGACATTACAAAATTAAACTCAAACCTTAGCCATACGCATTTTCCAATACAAATTAAATACCCACATTTTTAATTCTGTAAACCTTCTCTCTTTTGTTCTTTGCATATACATGTTTAATATATTTATATATCTTAAGTTGATAAGTTTTAAATATTTTATAATAGTAAATGCCAACATAACAAATAGTGTGTATACTGTTTCGCAGTTATTATTAATAAAATTGATAATTATATTATTTTTTTACGATATAAAAAAACTTATCAAACACTATAAGAAGCTTTATATGACTTTCTACTGTCGATGTAACTTTTACCATAGTAATTTATTCACGCATGGGAGAGCACCTGTTATTAAATCTAACAATCAAATTCTAGGATTTGCACATGAACTTCAGTATTTACACAGAAAACGTACTACGTTTTCTGTGGTATTTAGTAATATGCATGACGACAGTGAGAAACACTAACATACATTAATTGCCTAATTATATTCGTATTGATCCAAAAAATAAAGTACGTAGAATTCCTGACAATGTGGGGACAGTAATTAAAAAGTTGATCATGTATATTCAGGCGAAAATATATTACCAGTTTATTATCAATAATGTTTTTTATTGTTCAATACAACGTTAAAAACTCCTGTAAGTTTACAGTTTAAAACACAGGTTTGGACGCTAACCAGGCTTATGGACAATAGAATGCATTTATTCATTGTGATGTAGCCTATAATTAGTTGCAATTAAGGAATGGTGATAACATGTTGATACTGAAACATGGTAGTTGCTTGTCACAGGACTTCCGTTGATAACAACAGTATGGCGACGGTGACACGAACCATGTGATCAAAACAGTACGTGGGATGTACGTACAAATATTACCATTGGCCTTTTGGATACCGGTACAGCCTAATTAGACCATAGATTAAAGAAAGTATGCTACTCCTTTAAGTGTCTATTCCTTTAAACTATGAGTAGACAGACATCCTTACTAAATGGTTCAGTTTAACTCATTTTTACTTATCCCTTACATAGTACTGTATATGGAGAAAGTATTGTTTTCGTTAACATTTTCCGAATTTGAGTGGATATATCCGTTTTGGGCCCCACTGAACCCAAAAAAAAAATTGTTTAGGAATTCGAAGTGATGTCTGTCCGTGTGTGTTTGTGTGTGTCTGTCGTATGTGTGGATGTGTACAGAACTACAGACTACATCTGTGGTCCGAATTTGAAGGAATTTGGTATATAGGTACCAATCCATGATATCTCCAGGCGCTTTTTTGGAATTTTTTTTTTTAAATTTTTATGGTCATGTGTGATTTTCCCATAAAATCCCATAAAATAACGGAAAAATATAATTTTCTCGAAAAATGACCCGAAAGATGTTGGAAAAAATTGAGTATGTTATAGTCCTTTAAACAGTACAACTAAAATCCCTGTACAAATTAGGGTATAAGTTATTGTAACTTATGTTATTTTCCCATAAAAATCCCATAGAAATCTGGATAAAAAAAACAAGTTTTGATTGAAATTAGTATGTTATGGTCCTTTAATTCTAAACAAAATAGTGCAACCACGCATTGCTATAAAATTGCGGTTCAAAAGCTTTTGCGACTATTGTGATTTGCCCTATAAAATATCTTAGTTTCTCCCATCTACTCATAATAAAGTTTGTTGAAGGCGAATGGTAGAACATATGTGTTAGATTGCTGACACTGTTTATTTTAAAATATAATTTAGTTGAATGATCCACTCAGGGAATGCACTTCTGTCCAAATTGAATTTTCTTCTTTAGTTTTTAGTATTAAACATTTAATGTGCTATAAATAAGTAGATGTTTCAATTTTTACTCCCTCAAAAGCGCGCTCTGTCAATAGCTCTACACAACTACGATAATTTTCAGTGTAGAACTGGCTAAAGCCTGCATTCAACATGTGAATTGAAATCCACTTCTATCAATAATCGAAGTTTTTTACTCAATATATACGAGTGATCCAGTAAACGACATAGCATTGTTTACAAACAATTCATTGCTTTGTTCGTTTTAAAATGCACCAATAACAACGTATTCCTTCACCGTTAAAACACAGGTGTATGGATTTATTATTGGATTGTTCTTATAGATTTACCAGTACACAGGAACAAAGAATTATTAAGTATCTGTACAAAAAGAATTTCCATTGCTCTGCACAGTAGAAACACAACCAAAGGCTGGTTATGGCAATAAATTAGTGATAAGGAAACCATAAGTATACAGTTACTAATGAAAAACGTAAACAATAGAAAACCTTGGGGAAAGCTTTAGCAAACATCACAACGGTGAAGACGCTTGATGTAATTAACATAACTGAGTGATCAAAGTAATTGTGGCTCAATTTAGGCTAAACTCATTGACAAATGGAGTTGTGGATTGTCGAGTTGGTTAAACTAATTTTTCGATTATTTACACTTGATTGCTCTCCGGTGTGTAGGAAATCAACGATTAAAACACGTATTCGTAAACTAGAAAAACAAGATTAGTTGGATTTATACAATTCTACGCGGGAATCTGAAATGTCTTCATCATGACAAGGTATTTTTATATTATCTTAACTAATCTAGTTTGTGTAGTAATAAGGTGGTCAGAGATTTAGAGATATGTAAATTTATTATTTAGATACATTAATCTAAGCAATATCAATTCGTAACGGAGTTTACAGTATTAAATATTCAACTAAATTACAATTCACTCTTCTAAATCGATCAAAAGTTAAATAATAAATATTATTATAAATTATTATTATATTATATTCAAACAAACAAACAAACACACAAACTTTCACATTTATAATATTAGTAAGATTATATTATTATTATATTATATTATTATAATAAATATTTGTATCTTTTAATTGCACTATGAGTGTTATGTTAAAGAAATTATCCTCTGATTCATGTGTATGTAATATAAACTCTATTGTTATTATAATGTTATATACCAGTAAAATTATTTTGCATAAAATATTCCCACAGTCAATAGAAACTTATATTAATTTATCAGTAGCTACAATATGATATGATATAAATATATACCCCATAAAAATACTCTATAAACAAAAGAAGATAGTTCTCGTCAACGTTACATAGCATAGAATCACATAATTATTCTTAATTCAACCAATTTAAATAATCGATTTTGAGGCGGTCATGTAATCATTACTCCAAACAATTTTACAGTGATTTCCTCTGAAGAAGATGAATAGAAGTACTATCTTAAAGCAAATTAAATATGCTAAATATAGGAGGTGTGATAGTACAAGTGCATTACCTTATGGAAATGAGCTAATGTTGGTAAACAGAAGACAATATCAACAAAGGCAAGTTGAGGTTAGGACGTCGTTACAGCACTATGTCGCCCGGTCTAATTCTGTATCGAGCCAACAGAGCGCACTTGCGCAGACGACAAAACAGCTGGTTAAGGTCACAATGACGGGTGACTGATTCATTCATATACAAAGAGTTCATCTATCCGACTATCTGACGAGAAGTTCATTGTTTTTTCGAGAGTTGATTGTTCAACACGGCCTATTGTATTGATAACTTGATAAACTTTTGATACAAAATCGCAAACAACGTTTAACGCAATTTTCGTGATATCTGGAAACTGATACTATTGTTTTTGACAATCTGTAGTTTTATGTAAGACTCACGTGGTAGTTGGAGATGCCAGAATGTCAATTATTGTAGCAACGTGATGTCCAAGGAAGTGTAAATCCTTTGTTTGAAAATAATTTCGTTGATTGTGATTTTATTTTTTTTTTTAAGAGATATTAAAATTTATTTCACGATTAGTAAAAAATGAGGTTTCTTGATGTTTTTTTATACAGAACTTAATCCTTTCCTCAGGTGAAAAAGTACCAAATGCATAACAAGATCAACGGAAAAATTAGAAAATAACAATTATAAACCACACAGAAGACTACATAAATTATAGAAGGGAAATTTTGTTTTTAAAGTATAAGTAACAGAAGTTTTGAAAGAAAAAAATAAATATAACAAACAAAAGGATTCAGGGACTATTTTTCAAATACGTAAACAATTTTCAGATTTAACAACATCCATAGCTGTAGAGGGAGAAAGAAAACAAAAATATTGTAAATTAGTAGTTTTACTCACCTAATAACTGTATCTTACAAACATAATCTGAGAAAACTAAAAGGACATTACATTGTTTGTTTTGCCTCTGACACTAGTTATGAACCCTACTTTGTAATGTAGTTATGAGGATGTAGATGCTGATTGGATGATGATTGGGAAGACTCCCCCGACCATGACTGAGTTGAGATTGGGCTGATAGCTGATTCCTGATGTGTCCATGCTGGTTCATCAATCTGATCTATCAAATGAAGAACACCTCTCCGAAAGTTCTTGAATTGCGGCACAGTCATGACTTCCACATCAGGAAGTAAACTCAATAGAAACTGTTTTCTAGGATTATCACTAACGACTCTCTTTGAATTTATGTAGTCCAATACCGCATCAGCATTTACTGGCTTGCTGTCGTTTTGGAGGGAGGATGAGGGGTGATTTTCTTTTTTCCAATAGTAAAGGTCCTTTCTTCCACAGATCCTTTGTTGGTTTCTTCTACATCTTCCTCAGCAGGTTCCTCTGGTGAAGGTAGAACATCGTCATCACGATCTTCCTCGCTGTTATTGGCTGCTGATGAGTCTACAGCCGTGGATGGTAGAGGCAGTAGGTTTCTGGGCAGATCGTTCCCTTTCGCAGTCACATACGGTTTGAGGAACATCATAGCTTGTAGGTGAGGCCAGGGTTTCTTTTTGTTCTTTGCACCAGACGGGGGTGACTTAATATTCCTGGTAAATACGATTCTCATATTTCTCCACCTCTCTTTGCATTCCTTCACTGAAACAATACGTTAAATTAATTAAATTGATCGATTGACAAATTATTTAATTAATGCAATTAAAATTACATTATATAAATGCATTAAACATTTAACTAGTTAATTACAGTTCTAATTTGAACTTTTTGTGTTCCTTTGCTAATGGTAACACGTTCAAATGTTTGGCACAAAACATATGAACGAAAACAAAATCAAAAGGGACACGAACTATTGATTTGGTTGTAGCGGCGACTACGGAGGCAATAATATGTAGTTGTTTACAGCCATTGTACATGCCAGTTCCTGACGAAATATGTAATGCATAGGACATCGCAAGGTACCTAGAGAACTTAGTGGAGCTGTCGAACTGCATCGGTTTAATATTTGGCAAACATGTTAGAATCTAAAAGTTTAAACATGCAGGATCATATGACAGTTTTGCGTAAATGTAATAGTATATTTCGTACCTAGGGCCGAAAATGAGGTTTTGCCGGCACGAGTTAGTTTTTAAGTTTGAGACTAAGTCGAGAACAACAAATTAAATTAAATCAAATCAAATTAAATTAAATTAAATTAAATTAAATCAAATTAAATTTGTCGTAGTTGATGTGAGCCACCAACAGATTGCGCTGATCTAAAATGACTAATATCTGTCGAATAGACTATGTTTTTTTACCAAGTCAAACTCATGGAATGATTTATTATGAGCTATAGCAACTGTTAAGACCCATCTACTTTGTCAGTAACAAAAAATAAGGTAGAAAAAAGAATTTGACTTGCATTTGGTGACTGGATCACACAACTACATGTTTTTAATTAAAAAAATGACGACAGCTGGTCTATATAGATGGGATGTCTACTTCAGTATCCAATAGTCAATACGTGTACATTACATGTTTTAGGTCGAATTGTCGACCACTGGACGACCACTAGTAATAATTAATGCACACTGATAGTCAACGCAACTTTAAGGTTATGTGAAGAAGTAATTTCAGGAATCAGCAAAAATAATAATAAACCGTTACTAGGCAACGGTGAAAATAAAACAATTCTATTGCAATGTTATGGATACCGTTTGTGTATTTAATATGCAAGCGGGCAGCTGTTTTTGCGGCTCTAGGGATGTAAAAACTTGCTCGGTCCCCAAATGACGATGACAGCTGGCATGGCCAGCAAAACGTAACATTCAGCCTCTTAACGTATGTAAAACAGCTAATAACATCATAGTGTGGTGAAAATAAATTAATTGTAAAATCATTACTGTACGGAAAGAAATTACTAAAAATAGTACTGACCAATGAAATGCCAATCAATGCTGCTATTGAGCATTGATTATATAATAGACTTGTGTAGGCCTATTATTGCTTACTCAGCAATAGAATTACGACTGTTCAAAAACTCACCACAAAACATGAAACACTAATATTTAATTAAAAGTTTCGAGGAAGAGCCAAGGACTTTTTGTAGTTTTAGACGATGCGACGCCGGAATTGGCCGTGTAGTTGCGACGTTCCGAGATCCCATGAATAACCCATCACAACAATGCTGGTCAGCAAATGTTATTTAAAATGAGTTTCTTTAATGCAGGTTATCATAAAGATTTTTAATATAGATTGCTCGTCCTTATAAAAAATGTGTATAGGTAAATTAAGATTGAGGATATGTCTAATGAAGAGTAATTGGCTTTACAACTTAGTTAAACGTAGTAGTACTGAAAATAATTATGATGTAAAGGTAAAACTAATAAGCTATAGGTTAACTAGAGTTCCAAATTAATAATTTTGTTTAACACGTTTGTTTGATTAGACTTATGTCATAATGTTCAGTATAAAAACTTATCTCTTGACACTCATGTAAATCATAATACAGTAACACACCTGACCCTTTAGCCTGACTCTCTAGACTAAATCTTTTATCTCGCAAACCCTTAAATTTGTCCTTTTAAACAATTACTATCCAGCATAAAATTATATGTCCGAGCATTCAGAGAGATGTGTAGTTTTAAAATAATCTCTTTTATTTTTTACGTTTACACTACATTTTAATATACTAGTGTCCCTGATGCTCGAATTCGAGCAATTGCTAAGTATTACAGTCGTTATTTTAAAACGAATAACAGTCATAATTTCTGATGACTTTAAAACCACCTCAATTTTATAGATATGTAGATAGATAGATAAACTTATAAATACCTGATGAGTTCAATTCTTGTGCCACTTTCTCCCAAGCTCTCTGTACTCTATCCCTGTTGCTGTAGTCCTTTAGATGGAAATCATATAAGCAGGGATGGTTTTGGACAGCTTCTGCTAACTTCCCTTGGAAACAAATGTCCGCCATACTAAAAACAGCACACGCGTGTCGTGGTAAGCACTTTAAAAACTGTTGATTTTACGTCGTATTACATAGAACAACCATAAACGTGAAACTGAAGCCTCTAAAACGAAATCTGTTTTCTGATTTCATGAAACCCAGTTGCAAGAAACCAATGACATTACAATTTCACCCAACGCAGTGTGCACAGCCCTGTGTTAAACTAATCCATCTGTTGCAAGCAACTTAAGTTTCTCGTTTCATGAACCCGGTTTCTGCAGTGTGAGCTCGTGGGACGTGGCAGGGTGCACACTGGAGAAACCCGTTTTAGGAAACTGGTTTCATCAAATTGGTTTCAAGGAAACACAGAAGAAACGGGATTCCATCAGTTTCGTGATACGAATTCGGATTATGATGATGTGACAATATTGGTGGTGGCTAAAGAAAACGAAAAGAAGGAAGTATTGGGTTCACCCGTTGATTAGGGATGGTCAACACAGTACAATGTAGCTCGTTAATTATGCAGTGATCCTGTCGAATGTTTTGATTTTTTAGAATGCCAAAGCTTCATTTGAGCGTTTGGTGGAATTACTTAGCCCACTAATAACAAAGAAGGACACCAACCGGAGGTTAGCTCTGAGTGCTGAGGAAAAATAACAATACACTGAGGTAAATGCGCAATTTATGCTTGGGTCTTCTCGTATTACCACTGAGAATAGATGGTATTACTCAAGCAACTACGGTAACAATCTATTGATATAAATTATACCTTGTAGCCTATAATGAATTGTGTGTTTGTGTCTTCTGATTATGAGGTAAAGTGTTCTTCTGAATGGTCATTTCATCCATCAATGATCTTGATATGGAAACTATTGAAGAAGTATTTATGTTCTGATCGAATGCTTGGATCGTGATTCAATACAGCGACAAAAGGTCTTTACACTTGTTATATCATTCGGGATTACATTTCCTTTTTGTCTCGACAGATTTTTTTTTAATTTGACCCTTATATTGCACTAGCTGTAACGGTCTGGAACTTTGTGCAATTTTCGTACAAATGGATGATTGTAGAACTTGAAATTCTAATGTTTATGTCCAATCGACGGCGAAATGGTGTGGTGTCCCTGCCATACTAAATACATTTTTGTTCAAATTCACTTTCTTGTAGAAAGTGAATTTGAAAAAAAAATGTATTATCAAGTTGTCGATAGTTTTTGAAGTCAATGATATCATAACCTGCAAGTCAGGAGTGGTGTTACTATGTAGGAGGCAACAATAGGTAATTCTTAATATCGGACGTAGCTGCGAGCGAATAATGACGTTTCCATGTTTTTGGACTGTGAATTGAAAAAAAATCTCAAACCAATTTCCGGAACGAATTACTAGGTGGTAGAAACAGCATAGTATGTTTTTGTTGTAAAGTTTTAACTCAAAGTTTACCATAGTTTACCATAAGTTTACCACTTAGATATTTTATTCTTTTGCTCTAAGACTCATTCACGTACAGCAAAATAAATCCTTCCTACCTATAGTGTAGACGATAAGATGGAATACACCAAGCATTCTCTTATAACATAGAGCCTTTCCTTAGTAATAGGGTATACGAAAATCAAATCTGTGTGATAGCATCAGTTTAGACCACTTTCTTACTAGAAAGTAAAAATTTTCATTTTCTAAGACATTCGCAAAAATAAGTAGAAAATAGTTCAAGTACTATAACTTTGAATACAGTCTTGAGGTAAGAGCGCCGTTTTATCTCAGGCTGTGATACTAAAACATTGCTGTTGTCAAACTACATCAAGATAAATGAAGGCGTGCTAGAAGGCTGCTTTCCGAGAGTGTATATTTGTACAGCGCAAGGCATTAATGATTCATTTGTAAATACACCGAAGAAAATGTGAGACTTGAAACATTGATTTCTTGAAAGGTGTTGGATTAAAAAACAAGGTGGTGTTTTCAGAGGTGTCCACAAAATGGAGTGGAGTTATCAGGGCATTATTTTACTTTTTCATTGACCCTCACTATTAAGGTTCATTATTATTTTCACCTATAAATTCAAATTGATACAATAATTGTTTAGAGATTAATTATTGGAGTTATTATAAATTCAAATTGATACATTAATTGTGTAGAGATTAATTATTGGAGTTATTATAATAGTTACGTTCCCAGTAAAGGGAAGTGAACAGCACAGCGATGTCGTTTGTATTTTTAGAGGCACATTTTTAGCTTTAAACATCCGGGGTGCTAAATCAACCTTTTTTAACATAATGATACGGTTCTAACTAATGATGACGTAGAATTCATAAAAGGTTTGCTAGGAGCCTTGTATCAGCAAACCTAGGTACTTGTTTGAACCTAATGTTATTTAAATAGATTTAAATTGAAACCCCAATCAGGTAAATGGAGATTCGCTTAGTCTGCAGGTTTGCTGTGGCGGGGGTGTTTTATTTTTTATTAATTTTAATTTTTCCTTAATTAGGTAGTCTACATATTCTTTTGTTTTGACTAATTATGTCCCACAAGATTGTTATAATAATTTCGGAGATGACTAAAGTCTATGATGTTAGCCGAACCTTCTTGTCACTACTTTTATTGATACTGTAGGTTCAAGTCAGAGAAATTTTATGCAGTTTTAGTCGTGAATTATTTTTTCTTACATTGAGAACTAATCTAACAGATTTTTATGATTCACAGTGTTAAATTAATAGATAACTAATAACCAAGTGTAATCTTTTTTCCGTCTATTTATTTCAATAGCGTCAAGTTTGGCTACATAATTAATTACTTCACAATATTATCACCTTCCGTCATGTTATAGAGTGATTGGTACTCAGTGTGACAAAAATTGTTTGGTGTAAGTACAAAGTAAATTAAGTGTGATGATGCATATCAAATGTTCCAAGTCTAAAAATTAGCTTCCCAAAAAACTATTTTATGTTGTTATGTTTTTCAAAAATAACCATGCTTTTAAACTTAATACAGCGATTTCTCAATTACCTGTATATGAATTTGAGTAGATAATGTCATTTTCGTGTTCTACATTAAATTTTGAACAAGAATAATAGAAAATGGCGGAAATTCAGTTGTAAATCTCCATTGTAATTAGATTCAAAGATAAAAATTAAGATATCTGATACAAATAAAAAAAAAAACAATTGTCTATTGCATTTTTCACATCCTGTATACAAGAAAGTGTCGGAATATGTTAAAAACTGCGCCATTTTATAAGCTTTCCAACCATATGCTACACCATTGAGCTTTATGTCTGCTTATGTACGCTGGTTTGAAGACTACAAAGCATGGTGTCTTTAACATTAAATACCCCCGCCGCAGCAAACCTGCCAACTAAGCGAATTTCCATTTGTCTAAATTGATTTTCAGTTAAATATATTTTAATAACATTAGGTTTAACGAGTACCTAGGTTTGCTGCTACAAGGAAACTAATAAAGTGTGTTTTTGAGTAAAATTTTGATAGCTTAGTACAAAATAAATAAATTTGTCAAGTTTGATCAAAATATATCCATAAACAAGCAAACTACAACATTTGACAATATTCTCCATAAGAATAACATGGGAATTTTAAATTTACAATTTTTTTAATTTTCTCCGTTACTAATAATCGAACAAAAATACTTTTATATACTAAATTATTTGTTTTTTTAAGCTCTTTAAAAAGGTTTAAAGAGAAATCTGGAAATTTTGTGTTTTGAGGGTCAAAAGTGAGAAAAACCAATTTTTACCCCATAAAACCCCCCGTAAAGCCCCATTCCCATGGTCCGATCGTGATGGTTCGCGAACTCATTCAAGTTTATCCCGCTTTACACCTTTAAACCAAATTTCATCAAAATCGGACAAAAATTACTCAAGTTATCGCGTTCACGGACGTATATATATATATATATATATATATATATATAAATCTATATATATATATATATATATATATATATATATATATACATATATAAAAATTTGAACGAATGGTGTTTTTGGCCTCTGGGGACATCAAAATGAAAAAGTAAATCGGTCCCGGTTCTAGGTCTTACCGTGCCACCTACGGTAATAGCTACTTCCCTATAGGGAAATTCGCTAAAACATAGAAAGTCGGCATGTACTAAGCAAAAGTTGTATTTTTGTTTCAGCTTGAACAGTAAAAACAGTAAAAAAATCCCTGTTTTCTGGTATTCAAACCACAAAAACAAACAACAAAATATCTAAACCTCAATAGTGTAGCATATGGTTGGAATTGGAAAGCTTATAAAATGGCGTAGTTTTTAACATATTCCGACACTTTTTTGTATACAGGGTGTGAAAAATGCAATAGACCATTGTTTTTTTTTTTTATCAAAAATCTTAATTTTTATCCTTGAATCTATTTGCAATGGAGATTTTACAACTGATCCTCCGTCATTTTCTATTATTCTTGTTCAAAATTTAATGCAGAACACGAAAATGGCATTATCCACTCAAATCCATATACAGGTAATTGAGAAATCACTGTATTAAGTTTAAAAGCATGGTTATTTTTGAAATACATAAAATAATTGTTTGGGAAGCTATTTTAGACTTGGAACATTTGATATGTATCATCACACTTTATTTTTGTAGTTACACCAAAAACATTTTGTCACACTGAGTACCAATCACCCTGTATAATGAAATCAAAACCAAACATCAAGTAAACGTCCAATTGCATTTGCAAAATCTAAAAAAAGGCGCAGTAACAATTAACAAAGAGGTAACATTGCTGCAGAAGCTGGTTTCTTCTTCTGGGGTCTTTGGTTTACAACGTAGTACCAGTTTAGTTTGCCAGAAGAGGTCTAGTCTTAGTATATGAATGAGATAAGTAGAAGGCATAGCCATTGTTATGTGATAATGATTTGTCGTTTTACCACTATCAATTATACGTCGCAGAAGAACGGAAATACAGATGTTAAACAGGCAAAGATACATGTTCATTTTCTAATTGCGAGATTGCATCAACTAATCACATGTTTGCCATTCTCATAGTCCCATTTATAATCCTGGGGCAGATCTGCACCGGCAAATTGCAGTCCTGTGGCATTAACAAGTGAAATGAAGTAAAAGTTTCGCAGTTCATGTTATCAGATGTGCGTGTAATGGTGGGAAGTGCGTCTGCGTTGTGCGTGGTGGCTGCGCGACAGGTGGTTGGTGGAAGATGTCACGTGATAGCCAGCTCGCTTCTCATTGGTCCGCTGTTTCTAACCCTCTCGCGTCGCACACTACCACACACACGTCAGGTCAAGCGTGCTCAAAGGTCGTGATTTTGATTTTGTGCGTGAGTGATTCCCAGACTCAATTTCTTGGTAAATATTTTGCACTGCTAAAATAATTTTTATAAAATATTAACGTACATGATACAGTTTACGTTTTTAGATGCATTTGCAATGTAAACTATCAGTAATAAAAATATTATGTTTACCAAATCATATAAATAAAGTAAACAGAAGGGTCGATTATAAATGCACATGATAGTTTTGCGAAGAACTGAATATTTTACTTCTTTTTGGCTTTAAAAATGTTGTCTATAGTGTTAGGTTCAGTTTAAACTGCCAAAACATCATGAAACCAAATCCTCCCACCTATGGCCTATGGTTCTATGGCCTTCTAGACTTGACATTTTTTAGTGCTATTAATTATTTCAATGATTTATCAGTCCCATGTAGTTTACCGAGAACAGGCAACGGGCGTTTTTGAGTTGTGCATTTTTCTTATCGACTCTATTGGCGTAGTTTGGCGGTGTGTTAATATTATGTCTATGATTTGCTCTAAACAATAATTTATAAAATCTTTAAATAATACGAACTGTATTAATGACTTAAATGTTTTTTAAAGTTTTGGGAATACCGCCCTTAAAGCAGTTGTTTTTTTATTTTTACACTTTGAACGAGGAGATCCCTTAAAATAGGAAATAAACTTTTACTCTAAGTCTCATGGTAAGACCTAGACTTGGGACCGAGTTTTTGTTAATTTCCCCAGAACCTAAAAACACCATCCGTTCAATAACTCGATTAAAATGGTCCAATTTTGATTAAATTCGATACAATCATGTACATCTAAGTTTATTCAAAAGAGGTCAGGAACGGATTTTTCAAACTAATAAAATTAAACTCACCATGTTGTTCTTGTATTTTGCTTATTTATGGATAAATTTGGCAAATGTATCTTTTCCATACACTAAGCAATTAACAGTTTAATAAAAACCCCTACTTTGTTAACTTCCCCGCAGAAGCAGACTTAAGTATTTGTTAAACCTAAAGTCAACCCATCAGGCAAATGGAAATTCGCTTAATCTGCTGCGGGAATATCAATAAACGTTTCAAATTTCAAAAAGCACCAATACAATTATGGTCAATATGAAATAGTGTATTTTTACACATCCTGATGAATTAGGTTACTTAACAAATTTGTGTTCGTCAAGTAATTAGAGGTTGACCTCTTACGAAAAACGAACGACACTGCATTTTACTAGCTTTTAATAAGGGAAATAAATAATCAAGAACCATTTAATTGTTTTGTGAAAATTATACATGTCTTAATTTTGATTGTATACACAAAATGTTCCCATGCATCTACGTGGACCTTTTCAATAATGTATCTTTTCAAACAAATTCTTGTTATTATGTTATACATTAAATTTTAAATTAACCGTAGCTAGAATTTTTTTAAACAGGCTTTACATCTAGTATATTTAAATGGCCTGTAGATCATAGTTTTATGCTCTCTTAGTAACAAGATTATTATAATAAAATATTAGTGTCAGATTAAACAGAAACATAAAAGTTTCGCTTCATCTCAGTTATTTAATAAGCTTATTGTTCAAATATATGACAAACCTACTAACTTAAAATCACCTTTTAATAACATAAGTAGACTCCATTGTATTAATAAACGGACTTGACGACGGGACAACGTTTTAACATCGTGGATCTAGCTTTTATCCATTATTGACTGATTTAAAGATCAAGAGTGTTCATTTGGTACCAAACATGACAAATTAAAAGGGCCAAAAAACGTGAAAAACGTGTTACTGGCTTTTCTTAAAGTTTTTGTTCTCGAGTATTTACAATAAGCATTGTTTATTAATTTCAATATACTGTATCTTATTTTCGTACTACGGCGTATTAACGCTCGTCACATCTGTGTTAAGTAATCTACTGTGAGGATCATTGGATAAAATGGATATGAATACATGGAAATTAATATATGGATGGAATAAAATGCATTCTATTGAATAAAATGGATTCTTATGGAATAATTGGTATTCTCGTTTTAGATCTTATATTAGTAATCGACAGCAAACAAGTTTTTTTTACAATCACGTTTTCTTGGAACAAACTAAGGATAAATATAGGATGCCATAGGGGTTGGTATTGCGTCCTTTTCTTTTACTTATGTCTTAGATACAAAGTCTATTATTTTTTTATGATTACAAAGACGTAACAAAACAAAAATCAAGTCCTCTGTAGCTATAGTTGAGGATTCAGTATTATCAAAAGTGAAGGTGGTATAAGGATTTTTTTTATGAATGTAAGGGACTAAGCCAAATTATTTCTTTATTCAAGCACTTGAATAATTATGGCTTACGCTATAAAAACTATTTATTTTTTTTCAAGGTGTCTAATGCAACTGCCTCTTGCTCTGGGGAAATTGCCCTTATATTTCTTTTTGTCCAAAAGAAAAGTACTATTGTGGCATCTTTTTGTCCAAGAAAAAATATTTACAATAGTATACAGTACCTCTGCATCCTTCACAGGGTGGTTTAAATTTTAAAAAATCTCAAAATAATCATAAAAGATAGGGAATTCAATCAATTGTAAATTTAAAATTTATATGTTGGAGAGTAAATGAACTTACCGTATGTTGTTTGCTTGTTTTTTGATATATTTTAATCAAATTTGGCATTTTTTTAAATTTTATACTAAGCTATCAACATTTCAATTAAAACAAAAATCTAACCTCAATAATAAGTAGCCTACTCACCAAAATTAATGTTATTTCAATAGGAAATAAACCTGACAATTTTAAGGGAATAAAGTAGTAGAGATCCAGCCATGTAATTGAAATTTCGTTTAATCTGCAGGTTTGCTGGGGCGGGATATTTTATGTTACACTGTGATTTCAATATTTCTGTAACTTATCTTTCATGACGACCTTTTATTGCTGTATTTTATTTGCATAATCTGTGTGTAAAAAGACAAGATCAAATCCATGTATAATATGTATTGGTGAAAAAAGTTAGTATCTTTTTGATGGTTCGAAACTGGACCCAGCTGTTCCTGATCATTGGGCTAAAAGACCCTGACTGATGAAATAGCTTATCTTAAGTCAGTAACAAAGCTACACAGATCACTTCACAACATTCTACACTCATCCTTCCCTCATATTTGGGTTAAAATACACACATAGGTGGCGTCCCCATCTCATAATGTTAACCAAATAAATCTATCTACCTATATATTTACTAAACTCCACGTCTAGATGCATGCGAATTCAACGACGTAATCGAACACCAATCCCTTTATAAAAAGCCCAAATTTAAAAGAATCTTAGAATCAGACCTTTTTGGATTGGGTACAAAATGGGTTACTATATACAGTATTATACTAACTAATAACAGACGGTTCGTCGCCTAACACTTCACCTACATGGCTGATAATAAAGGTTTGCTTCCGAGATAAAAAGTTAAACAAATTAAAAATAAACGTTACAATGCGGCCTTGGCCAATGTAGTAACTTGACCTGTTAATATTTGTGATACGTGGTCAGACCAATAAGTCATTTCACTTGTCACATGGATTCACAATCGTCAACAATTCTACATGACAGCTTCATTGGAATAGCGAAACGGGTCGAAAATGTCTCAGAGAGTAATAGACTTAGAAGTTATGTTTCCCTCCGGTTCCAAGATGTTTACTAACAGATTCGCTAACCACTATGTTGGTTGTTGCAGGTTGGTTGTTATTGATCGCACAGAGCTGATAAGTCCTGATAAGACCCAAACACTATGTGAGTCAGGACCATGCGGGCCGTGTGGATGGCCGTTGCTTTTATCTTGCAGATCATTCTGGTTCAGGTAAGGATTAGTATTCACTTGTTCTGTGTTTTTCTAGTATTGTTGCATTATATTAAAATTATGTTGCTGACGGCAATGCGCAGGAAAATCATTTGACTATTTTCTTCAAGAAATATGGAGCAAGATACCACCACAGAATTGACCAAACGAGTGGTTTAAATAGTTGATTATGAAGTAATGTTTGATGACAAGGTGATGCTTCTTTTAATTCTTTTCAGTGAATTTCGTAACCAAACCTACAGCAGTTTATGACAAGATCGCATTTATGGGAGTTAGACTACATCATAGCGGATGAAAATTCATGTATATCGTGAAAGCAAGGTGGAGTGATCCAATCGATAAAATGTATCAATACGTATTGTTGACATTGACAATAATTGACACTATAATTGTAAAATACATTTATATAATATATATTTGTAGATGAGCGAATATAGCCTAGTGCTCACCTGGTAATGAGTAGATTGCCAGTTCAACAGTCAGTATCTTTTTGATGGTTTGAAACTGGACGCAACTGTCCTTGATCTTGATCATTGGACTTAAAATAAATGATCCTAAAGAACCTACTGATCAGTCAGTAACAAAGCTGTCATCTAATTCACTCACTACTCATCCATCACTCGTCGTCTACTTAAAAACGCTACTGTTGGGTTGACGTTAAAGAAATCGGTATCCTAATCTTGAAATTGCTATTTAAGACAATGTCGAATCTAAGAACAAATGCTATTACAAGAAATTGCAAGGTGTTCAAAATTACAGGTTGTTGTGGTAAGCTTCGGGAGCCTCTCCATTGTAAAATGTTGTTTTGAAAGTTTTTTTTTGGGCCACGTGTCGGCTCGCCATGTGTTGTGGCGCCGTGGTCACCTGATACTTCACCCACCAGTGGACAGTCTGCCTTCCCTTCGCTATCTCACGTCAAACATCTTGCCAAATACACCCCTGCGCCGCTGTACCAGCTGATCCGTCAACTGTCAGGATGCGCAGAGAGTTCCCCAAGAGTTTCTCTACGGAAGACTGCTGTGAACAACATGATGCATTTTTTATCAAGTCCGCGAAACTGCAAATATTTTTGGACTGTGATATTAGATGAGGGACGCTTTGAAGTACATGGTGTTTTATAACGCAAACCAAACAATTATAACTGCCGTGAGACACTTTCTAACAACAGAACCAGCTCATATGATGGCATACCTTATTTACTTCATTGCCGATCAGCTAATGCGATGTATCGTTCCACTTATCTATGAGGGTTAGTGTTATTGATCATTTATTGTAAACAATAGGTAATATGTTTTTGCATGGTCAAATATAGATTGAAAAAATACCAAGTTGAGACTTATTCGCAATAAATTCCCAATAACACAAAGACTCATAGATAACTATGCAACAGTCAATGCGAATCAGCTGATTGGCAATGAAATAAAGAATACAGGGTTACAAAAATGTGAGCTTGTTTTGTCGTTAAACAATGTCTTATAGTACTGTAATTTGGGTTGCGTTAAAAACCCCTGTATCATCCAGAAAAGTTGAAGAGGAATAATTTAGATACTTCGTGGATAACTCAATATGGACTGTCATTCTTGTCTTCAGAAACCGAAGTTCACCCAACCCAATTTGATCCAGACAAAAGTCAGAAACAGTAATTGTTCGAAACTAACGGTCCTTAATCGTTGGGCTTTAACTATCTTTGCATTTAATACGTAGACCAATTTAGAATTTAGAAAATTAGAATAGGACAAACTAATGACGTCAGTGGAATAGTGTAATGAATAATCATAAATGCTTCAAAATTAAAGGAATCCAAACCATTCACATTTCTTTGTATTCCGGGAATCGAACCCGTTACTGTTGCACCACAAGCCCAAGACACTAACCATTAGACTAGCGACTCACCCAACTGCTCCAACGGGATACATCTTCGTAATAACATCCCGAAGTCAGTTTAGATAATTTATAAATACCAACACTTGGTGAATCTAAGAGAAGCCACAACTTGGTTTTACTTCCTCTTTCTGACCTCTGCCTCATATCATGGCACCGGTTTGGTCTAATGTGTCAACAAAAATGCACATATTTCGGCAAAATATTCCTGTGATTCAATTAATGGATTGACAACAGTAGTTGTGCCCCCTCCGATCAGATGATTGGTTCTTTTTGTCACGATCAGCTGTTCTTACCTAACCCTGGAGTAACCTCCTTCACACTGGCCGTAGCTGTTGGAGAACAGGCAGGGGATGTTATACGATATGATAATAATTTAATTTTCACTCAGACCACACTTAACTGATTCCATTACCATATGGCATCGCGGCATTAGCATTTACAATTGTTGATTGGTATGCAAATTTCAGCAACTATCTGCCAGCTGTTTTATCACTTAGTGCGTGGAGCAGGGTTTTAAACATTTCGTTTTCATTTAGACCATCAGGATTTTGTACTTGTTGCAGACATTATTCGTCTTCAGCAGGTTTACAAATCATACACAAATTTCGTATGTTTATTGTTATTGAGTCCTCTTTATCCCTCAGTTAGACGTATGTTTTTATTCACACTGTAGTGACCGACCCTGTATTATATGCAGTGTACAATACAAACTACCTAACTCCGGGAGAAAATGTGAGGAATTCAATAAGAAACTCGAAATCTATATAAATAAAATTACAGTTTTGTCTGTACATTGCTTAGAATCATGCAGTTTTTGGTTATTTTTACATTTCATAGCCTAAGAAAGCCGAAACGAGTCTTATCTCAATTTCTGTCTGTATATCTGTCTGTCCATTCTGTGACTCTGTCTGTAACGCCAAATTGTCATTTTACGCGGCCTACTCCTAGGAAACTAGAGTACCGATCAAGGTTCTAATAGTTTTTCTGTATTTACTGGATTGGTGAGAGTGTCTTGGGCTATAAAAACATGGCCTGGCTTCTTTGAAAACAAAATAACGAACCATCAAAAACCCAATTTTGTTTGATTTTTGTCAAATTTTCTCCCAATGTTTCCTATTACATTTGATGAAATAACGATCAGCTGTTTGGATTAGTTCTCACTTCTAGCTGTCACCGATATGTTTACATTCAAAGTTGTTTACAAATACCGACCGCAACCATTTTCCGATCAAGTTTTGTCAGCACATCCAAATCAAGTGAGATTAGAAACGTTGTGCCTTACTTAACCTGTTTAATTAATCGCAAGTGCAACGAGTGTTCTTGAGTTTTTATAACCGGGGAAAATACCGTGAATCGGTGTTGTATTAGTGCTGGGAAACTTAAATTTTTTAAATCGTCATCACCAGTGCTTACAAAAAGGTTTCCGCACTCATTTATGGCCCTTCAAGGACAGTTGTGTAAAGTGCAAAGTAAAAAAATCACAACTGCAGTGGGTGATCGTGGATGTTGCTGCGATCTTGGAAGAACTTTCTGATTTCACTGTGATCGTAACAGAGGTTTAACTTACAGATGTAGCTAAACTCGCTTTTCCCAAGTGTCATTTTTTGTTTCTACTTACTTACATTTCGACAACGATATCGGTACATTTTTTCTACTTAGGAAGTAAAACTACAAACGTCCAAAACCCCAGATTTGTGAGTTTTCTGTCAGATTTCCTCCGAATGTTTGCTAGATATATGTATCGATTATCGATTAGAGATTACGTAATATTTTATAAGAAACCTTTGTTTGGATAAAGGTGGTTTCTTCAAACTGTCATTAATATGTTAACATTAAAAGTTAATTACAAATAATGTTATTAATGGGAAATAACTTTGATTTTCGAAAACTTAAAAAAAATAAAACCAAGTGAGATTATAATAACTACGGTACTGCACCACATCAAGTGAAAGTTTTTTTGAGAAAACCATAGCGAGTTTTTAAAGCTTTATGTTGTTAACATAAACGTTACATGTTTTGTGGCCTGTGTATTTATTTATTTATATATTTGCCAATGGATTAACACAATTATTTGAAATAATACAGGTTGATTACATGGACAGTTTGAATTGTTCTTAAGTAGCCTACTATAGTTCTTTTCATAAATGTAAACGTTGGTTTATGGTACTGCTACTTTTCCTTAGAACCGGTGGTAGCAGTAAGAATCATTTTTACGTACAAACACATCACTATTTACAACTATAGTTATCTTTAGTGCTGCACCTTATATCTTATTAAATTTAATTGATGTCTTACTGTATAATTTTTGCGTTTTCTGTCTGGACTCCAAAATGTTAGTTTATCCTATGAAAATGATCAAACATTAGTGAAAGATTTTTTTAGCAAACCATCATGATTTTTTTAAAGCTTGGCTTTGTAACGTATAAATGTTTTGTAGACTGTGTATTTATTTACTTATTTATATATTTGCCAAAGGATTTACACCAATTTTACAGTTTGAAAAATCCATTATCATAAAACTTTATGACAATATCAAAACTTTCAAATAATTATTTTGTTTGTAGACTACTTTGCTTTGGTTAAAGCGTAGCAAATCCCTTAATTCAATTCTTTATTTGTGTGTGTATGTCTGTTGGTAACGCATTAATGTCTTTATTTCTCAGTGTTTCGTGGAAAAGACAAGACCACCTTTGTTAATGAAATTTTCAACCCGAATAAAGTGTGCAGTAGTGAGGTTGAGGTGGTATTTTCAGTGTGAAAAGTAACTTTCAATTACAGGCCTACCTTAGGGCTATGCCTCATATATCTATAAAGCAAGTCCTTTTATCATTAGATATAATATATGGACTAACATGATCGGGTGACATTTAATTGCGAAGCATTCGTTTTGGCTTTGAAACTGTCAGATATTGTATTTGCGAAGGTTTATATGTATTTCTATACAGTAGTAGTTTTGGCAGCATATCTGGAAAAATGCACACTAAATATGCAAACCAACTCCTGTTCTGAATATAAGGTTTCAACTTACTGCAAGATTCCCGTACGTAGAACGGGCAAACAGCTAGTTATAATATAAAGCATCACTACATAAAATTTTAATACAAATGGTAGATATA